GCGCAAGACGGAACAGCTAATGGGCCGGAGCCGGGGCCGGGGAAGGGAGGGGAGGGAGGGAGGGGGCGGGCTAGCGCGCGAGGGAGTCAGCGAGGGAGGCAGCCGCTGGTCGGCTCCGTCCTTCCCCGTCCTCCTCCTACCGCCGCAGCGCCCAGCCTCGCGAGACCTTCGCTCCGGGTCGTGGGCGGCACAGGGGCTTCAGCGGCAAACATCGCGAGAACACGCAGCCTCGACAGATACTCCCGCCCTTCTTGCTCGGCATCCCCGCCCCTGCAGGCGCTGATTGGCCCAGGGTGGAGTAGGTCACGTGCCAAGGCGCTTCTGGACATGTGAAGGGGTAAGCGAGACTCCGCCCACTCGCGCAGCAGCGGCGAGCTGGGAAGTTGCCTCGCGCCTTTGGGGAACCTAAGTGCGGGTAAAAGAGGGGAAGCGCTCAGAAGTCTGCGTAGGCTCTCCACCTTTACTGCCGGTCGTACTACAAAACTAATACACCACGCCCGCTTTTACACCTCCTGTCATTCTTCCCCAGCAAAAACCTGCCATTTCTTCCTTTTGGACTTCGGCCGTAGGCCTCTGTCGGTGACCGCCCCAGCCTCTTTTTACCGTTGCGCTGGCTGTGGCCTCTGTTACCTTGTGTCTTCCCGCCTTGAAATCTGCTCCCCTGCCAGAGTGTCCTCCTTTCCTGCCCTCTCTTTCTTCCCCTCCCCACGCCCATTTTGAACTCATTTTAGCTTCATAGGCTTTCAGGGCCTGAAGTTCAACTGGCCTAATTGCATCTGCACAGACACAATTCTGCCGGAAGTCACCTTGTATCAGCTGATGTGAAAAGGTCCCGAAGCATTTTAATGCAAGGAGCATCTATAAAGTACCCCGCACACACACAGTGAACACTACATTAAAAATATAGCTCTGGCTCTTGTGGAACTTGTAGCCTGGTCTTTTAGAGGACTGAAGGAACCTATAGGAAAGGAACCAACAAGGATTGTCCAGTGGTCACTACTGCTTGTATGGAAGTTTAAGAAATGCTCTTTTTAAAAGGTTTTGTACTAACCACAGTGCTCTTGATTGGCAAGGGAGTTTCTGCTGCTTAGCACATCCCTGAGCCACAGCGGACATCCTGGAGAGGTTCCGTGGAGTGAAACACAGGACCTGACTTGATTCAAAGACAAAGCTGGGAAGCCTGCAAGAAGCCTTACAGTCTCGAAATCTAACGTGGACATCTGATGGTTCCAGACAAGCTTCTAGGAAGGGCGAAGACAACTATGTCATAGATTGAAGTGAAAACATTATTGTGCAAGCCCTCAGGTGTGTGGGTGACAAAAGGATTGACTTATATCTTCTCTGAACAAAGGCTTTTCTGCAGATAGCCCTATAAGAGCTTGACAAGAGCTACCCATGGTTGGGCCAAGATATTCAACTGATGGAAGTTTTGGTTGGATGCAACCATCCTGCCTCATAGTAACCATAACAAACATCCCTATTTGATCTCTGCAACAAGGGATCCTCATGAAATGATCATGGTCTTATTGTACATAGCAAAACAGGCTGAGAGGACATAACTTGCCCAAGTCTCTTGACTGTGTAATTCATTAATGCCAATTAGTCTGGTTTACCTGCCTCTAGGTTTGTGTTGGAGGCGTATTTTCTCACACTCTTAAAATTCAGAGTAGCCTGAAATTTACTTCAGCCAGTAAAATATGAGAAGTGACGTGTATCATTTTCAAGCAGAAGCATTTCATTTGTAGCACAAACAGGGTTGCTTCCCCTTTTCCTTAGTGGGGATTAATAATTATGAAGGTAAGTGAGTCAACACAAAACTTTACATTAGCCCTGGTCCTCCAGTTAGCGTGATAGCTGAGCCGTCCCATCCACCCACACAGTTAAACTACTGAGACTGTGTAGTTTGTTCTTACAGCATAGCCTGGCCTACCCCAGTTATCAAAAGATGGAACACAAATCCATACCACCACCAGCACTACTGACATCTACTTACGTGGCCTGGTCCTTATTTATCTGTTAAATGGGGTTAATGATAGTTCCAACCAGTAAGATCACAGAAAGAATGAGAAAATTTATATTCAATGTTTAGAACGGTTTCTGGTACACAGTAAACACTGTGACGTTGATGATAATGATACAACTCTAACTCCAACCCTGTATTCTTCCTACTGTGTCATGCTTACAAAAAGTGATAAAGAAAAATTTCAGTACAGTGTTACCAATCAACCGTCAAAAACATGCAATTGTGAGAAATTCTTTTACCTAAGGAGAAAATATCACTAAACACCATAAGATAGTATCAGTAGCGGTAGTCTCCTTTTGTTGAGAAAATACATGAATAAGTAAACCCTTCTGATAATTCAGTGACTTTTTTTTAGAAATTTGGATTTTTTTTTTTTTTGGTTAAGATTTACATAACTAAAAAAACCTTGCAAGTGTAGCTGTGCCAGATGATGGTGGAGCTACTGGCAATACCTCAAAAGATCCCTAGGGGTCCTCAGAGCTCAGGTTGAGACAGGATGAGACACTTTCCCGGCCAACGCAACACTTTGCGTTGGCGTTCCAAAGTTGGTAGCGCCACCTGGCGGGAAGGTATGTAATAAAGCAGTCATCTTCAAAGCCTTGTTGCTTTGGTGTGGTTCAACAGGCCTTTGGAAGAGTATCAGTGAAAACGAGGCAGTAGTGGTGTTCCTAGAGCTGACCTTGAACTTCCTAATGGTTATCCCCCTCCCCTTGCTAAGATCTCTGCAACTTGAAAGCTCTTGCCATTCGGTTATACCACGCCATCCTTGATTTCAGTGATCTTCTGGCTTCCCAGTCAATGTAATGTTTCCCTTCCACTCTCAGCGCCGTCCTTGAATTCCATGAATGAGTTCAACATCCGTGTTATGACCTATTCGGTACCCCAGCCACCCCCCATCTCTAACAACTTTCTTCTCAACTGAACCATTCCTTCCAAGGTCATACCCTGAACACTTTCATTACCACCAAGAGGAGCTCCATTTTTGCTTACTGCCCCTAGCCTTTCTACTTCTTGGGCTAGCACCCCATTTGCTACAGTCCTTCAGTCCTTCACTGAGACTGCTGATCTACAAATTCACCAACTACAAATTCACCTTCTTTTTGTTCATTCTTCATTTCCTTCCTGGCCCAGTTTTGAACTGTTGAAGCATCATTAGGACAATTCCTTTGCCCACCTCAGTCACCAGTATTTCCCTGGGAGAGCCACAACCTGGCTGAGCACTACCACCAGGAAGGACAGTACTCGTGCCTGAGCACCTGACTGTTGCCAGAGAAATTGAACAGGTAGACGCAAGGTCCTGAGTTCAATCCCCAGTACCAGAGAGAGAGAAAAAATAGACATGTAGAGTGACTTCACTTTAAATTCACAATCTCAGACCTTAGTACTCAATCTATCCTCTTTCCTATGTGATTATAAATTTGCAGTTACCATGGTCTTAGCTACAATGGTGCAAGAAAGGTCTCATTGCTTCCCTCTACATCAAATTTTCTGAGTACTCTTCTGCTAATGGGACAAGAAATTCTATTTTGGTCATTATGAACCTTCCTCATTATTTTCCCAGGATTATATGAAATTCCTGGGCTATAATGTGGCCCGGAACATTTACTTTTATTGATGTTGTTAACTGTGGTCACTGCTGGTGGCTGCATTGCCCAGATCTCAGTGGTCCCTTGAAAGTGAATGGTTCGGAGTTGCTACCACTTCCAGCTGCAGCCTCATTCCACATCACATTCCACTTCAATTCTCATGATTGCTTCGCTGCTGCTTGCATGAGGAAGGACCTCTGTGGATTTTCTTGTATTTGTCCAGTATGGCCAAGTCTCCATCCTCTTCACTTGGGCACTGCTCATCCTTTACGTGTCAGCTTCTGCCAGGTGTGTTGCAAAGAATTTAGAGAGGGCTCCCTTAGGTGGGAGAGGAAGGGAAGGGGCAGGAACCCTTCCCTGAAGCCACGGTGGGCTGCCTGCATCTCACGTGGAAGCTGAATGAAGCACAAAGAACAGTGATCAATGTGGTGGATGGTAAAAGAGAACCAACTCTCGCTCCACTTCAGGGGACTCCAGCGATCGCCACGTGGCCAGCCTGCAATGCTTCCTCCTCCTGGCTGTACATTAAAAACTGCTACAGCCAGCTGTGGTGGTGCAAGGTTGTAATTCCAGCACTCAGAAGGCTGAGGCAGGAGGATCACCACAAGTTCGAGGCTATTCAGGGCTACACGGTGAGTTCAAGGCCAGCCTGGACTCCATAGCAAGACCCTGTCTCGGCGGGGGGGGGACGGCTACCAACACTTGGATGATGGTTAATTTTATATGTCTCCACATCCAACATCCTCCCTTCTCTAGAAGAGGAGCTTGTTGTAACAACCTCTTGTGTGTTGCAGTTTTTCACAGTTTAGATAGTCTCCACACTCGGTATCCCTCAATTATCACAACAACCCCATTTTATAAACAAGGTACCCAGGATCAAAAAGGATAATGTTTTGTTCCCAAGCCCAACATGACAGGGAATAAAGGCAGAATTTGAAGCTACATCCTTGGGACCCCAAAAGGAAGATGCTGAGGATAGCTGAGTCACCGTCTAGGGGTAGACAATCTCTTACAGGGATCAGGAATCTTGAGGATAAAGGAGGTTCCATTCAAGGCCTTCTCAGGTAAGCACAATGCTGGTTCACCTCCTGGTCAGAAGTTTGGGATGCTTATCTTTTAGGAAGTACCCTAGCTATCACCTCAACTCTGGTGACCAATGCAGAGATAGGGCAGAGCAATGCAATAGCTGATTTAGGCTCTCTCCTGGCTGGGATTGGGTATTAGGGGTTAATACTTAACACCCTTTTAATCCCTGCCCAAGGACGGGCACGTGAAAATCAAAACAGCCCCCGTACAAAGGTGGTGTTGGAGAACATGATCTTGTGATAACAAGCTTGCTGACACTTGGCCCCTAAATTTGGCAGACCCGTCTAGTCGGAGTCACTGGCAGTACATGAAAGGCACAATTCTCGCACTACCCCTAGAAACGTTAGGGCATCACAGAGAAACAGAACCCAACACCTGCTCTCTGTAATGGCAGGGCTCAAGCCTACTCAAGTCTGTCTGCCAGAATTGTTTACCAGAAAACACTCCCAGGCCCAAGGGGAGAAGTAAAGGGAAGCTGTGATTGTTCCAACAATGAAATGATGCTCTGTGGTAACACATTACAATCATCTGGGGAGCTAGAAAAAAAAAATACCAGTACTAACAAGATATGTACACCGATGTCTAGGTCCCAGGCATGGAGACTACAGTTTTATTATCCAAAGTGGAACCCAGCCTGGGTCAGAGTAATCCTCTCTAACGTGCTCTAAATGGGTGGTAGGTCATGCTTTGATACACATTAGACCATCTGGGGAACTTTTAAAAATCCCAATCCCTAAGCCTCATCAATTAAATCAGAATCTCTGGAAGGGAGAATCGATATATTGTTAAGATTTCCCAGCTGACTCTAACAGCGAGCCAATATTGAGAGTAGGTGCTCAACCTGGGTAGTGTTGTTTGAAATTTGTGCAGCAGAATCACAAGGTTTATGAAAAGACAGATGGCCAAACCCCACCTCCAGAGTTTCTGATTGACTCAGTGACTCTTGGATGAGGCCTGAAAAAAAAATCTGCATTTCCATGTTCCTCAGTGATGCCAATACAGATGGTTTGGAGACTTTGGAACCTGTCCCAGGTGTTGCCTCTATCAGATAACAAAAGTACAGTGAGGCCTGGTGTGTGACAGCTTTTAACCCTGAAGGTGCATGGAGAAATAATTATGCCAGAATCAGTCAAATTGCCCCACATAGTAGTTTGGTTTTTTAAAAATTTCATTTAATCTAGCTATTTTTTGTAGTACTTGAATCCTGGGACTTCTCAGAGAGCTATATATCCCAGTCCTTCTTATTTTTTATTTGGGGATAGGGTCTTGCTAAATTGTTAAGTTGCCCATGTTAGGCTAGAACTTGTGATCCTCCTGCCTCAACCTCCCAAACTGCTGGGATTACAGGTATATGCCATCACACCAGGCCACATGGCATTTTAAGGAGGTTCTGGTTCTGGGTTTTGGCTTCAGAGGAGAGAATTTGCCATAGTCTGGCTACTGTCTGAATGCCCTAGATGCTATCTAGTTCACTGATCTCTTTCCCACAGCTGGGAAACTCCTTTCTGATAATCATCAGGTTGGTAGCTGGATATTGCTGCAGTGTTCTGAGAAAGCTTTGCTCTACAGTGTGGCTCTAAACAGACCACTCCACTGGAGCAAGCTCCTGTCTCTACTCTTCATTTCAGGTGCTCATCAGACTCAAGGCAGGCTATCCAGAGACCCTGGGAAAATAGTGGATTAAATATTAGGAAAGAGAATCAATCTCTTTCTCCCCGGTATTATAAAGTTACGTATGAGATGTGAGACTTGAGGTCCTCTCATCAGTGACCTAGGCAAGGATATATTTACTACTGAATTTCCCAGTGACTAACATAGGTAAGCAGCATATAATATCAGTAAATATTGCCAACAGGTTCATTAAGATATAACTGACATAGGGCCGGGGATTTAGCTGAATGGTTCTGCCACCTGCCTTGGAAGTGTAAGGTCCCAAGTTCGATCCCCAGTACCAAAAAAAAAGATATCATTGACATACAAAACTATATATTTAAAGTATACAATTTGATGTTTTGACACATTTATACAGTCCAGTTAATAGGCAGAGATTACCAAATGGGATTTTTTTTTTAAAAAAAGACTCAACAGCCAGGCAGGATGGTGCATAACTATAACCTCTCTATCAGTCTTGGCTTGAAATCCACTTTGTCTGCAAATAGAATAACTATCCCTGCTTTTTTCTGGGTTCCTGTCATATGAAATAGTATTTTCCGCCCTTTTAATTTCAGTCTTTGAATTTGTTTTTTAATTAAATGTGTTTCTTATATGCAACATATTGTTTGATCTTGCTTCTTGGTGCATTCTGCCAGACTGTTTCTTTTGATTTGTGAATTGAGACCATTAACATTAATGGTTATAATTGATATAGCTAGCTTGAGACATTTTTAGCTAAATGGATGCACCTTGAGACCATACTCTTGAGTGAAACAAATCAAACATACATGTTTGAATACTCAGCTGTTTCTCTAGTGTGAAAAACTGAAAGTGTAAATAAGAACCAAAATGTATACTAGATATTGGGAAATGGGAAGAAAATGTTTAAATGAGAAGAAGAACAAGGAGGGAGGGGGGAGGAAGGAAGGGACAAGAAAAAAAGAATAGAAGGAAAAAATGGAAACAAAGCTTTTGTAAATAAGGGGGAAAAGGGCTGAGGGAAGGGAAAGAAAATGGGAAAAAACAAAGAAGCAAGTTACATCATGTATAAGTACAAATTCTCTATGATGAATGTTATCATTAGGTATATCTAAAATGTACAATAAAGAAAAAACAAAAAAAGGACTGAACAATATGTTATCTATGAGAACGCAATTTCAAACATGAAGTCACAAATAGATTTAAGGTAAAACAAAACAGGACAAAACAAAAAAGTATCCTGTCCAGCCAGAAATTAAAGGAAAGCTGGGATGGCTATATTAACATCAAAATATATTTTAGGAAGATATTATCTATAAATAATAGAGGTATTACACAATGACAATGTATTTGACTCACCAGGAATACATAATCTGAAAAGTAGTGCTATACATGAAAACAGTCATAATATACAAAGAAAACACCAAAAAGCAAAAATAGACAAGTCCACATTTTTAGTTGGCTATTTTAACACTTTTTGTTCTGTGATTAATTGAAGTAGATAGAAATTTGTAAGGTTACAGAAGATCTGTATAATTGCCTTCTCTACCCAGTAGTGGCAGAATATGCATTCTTTCCAAGTGCATATAGCAGCCACTAAGATGTGGCACAGGCTATAAAACAAGTCTCAACAAAGTTAAAAGTAGTAAAATCATCCTATTGCAGTATTTAAGAGACATCATCTCAAGATTCGGACTATCCCTGACCTTGGGGGTCAGACAATAGACCAGCATTCATAGCTGAGATGGTCCAGGAGCTCACACAGATGTTAAAAATAAAATAAAAGCTTTACACAGTTTACTGGCCACAGAGAAAAAAAAAAGCGGAGGACATAAACTGGATATTCAAACAACTGCTAAAAGATATTGCCAAGAGATGGGATCAGGTCCTCCTCTGAGTCCAGTGCACTCCCACCACACAAACATTCAGCGGGCCACCCCCAATCATAGGTCAAATTAAGTATGATCTCTATAAACTAGAAAAATTATCCCTAAGACATATATAGGCTTTGAAAATAGCCACGCAAGACACTCATGGCTGGGTACAAGAGAGAATGCCTGTAAGTCTGGTAGACCCAATAAATCCCTTCAAAGCCAGGGACTCTGGGTTAAAAAAAAAAAAATGGAGCCAACCACCTTGGTTTCTTGTTATTGTTGTTGTTTGTTTGTTTGTTGTTTGTTTGGTACAGGGGAATGAACTCAGGTCCTTGCACTTGCAAGGCAGGTGGTGGAACCACTGAGCTAAATCCCTGGCCCCCACCTTAGGACCGGTATGGGATGGGCCCTATGTTGCAATTTTGTCTAATCCCACTGCTGTTAAAGTTGCAGAGACTGTGCCTTAGATCCAACACAGTCAGCTAAAACTGGCAGCCTAAGTCAAGTAGACCAGTCAACAGGATCCAGACCATCTGAGCTGACTGATCCTGAGGTGAGACCAAGTTGCCACTGAAAATGGTAGCCCTGCTTCAGTCACCCTGACTAATCTATGCATGGCAGAAGCCCAAGGAAGCAGCAACCCTGCCATGGTCACCTTGGAAGCTGACCAGTCTATAAATGGCCAAAACTTGAGGTGCAATATGGAGATATAATAACAATAAAAGTTCCTTATTCTTTTCATTGTAATTCTCTTTCTTCCCTTAGTAGTAGGGAAATCTCAAATAATGTAATTATTGTATTTA